AACAAGCCTGTCACTTTTTTGTCGGCTCTGGTGTTGAACAGAAAGCTAAATAAAAAAAGATAATCGGTTGATGGATAACAAGACTGAGTTGGAAGAAATTTAGGCGCTCGTAATATACGGTGAAATTTCCTGTCGAACCATATTTTTTTACAGAGTCACTAGTTTTGCGATATGTCTAGTAACGGTTTTTAATGGCCAGTATTGAAACCGTCTGCTCAAAATTTATCCTAAGAAGTGATTGCCAGATAGTCTGATATAATTATCTTGAAATGTGTTAAGTTCTGCATCGCCTAGTCATGGTTCAGACTCCAAAATATGTTGACTTTTCAATTCTGGGTTAATAATGAAGAAGATCTAACACATGTTGTCATGTATTTTTGTGCTCAAGAGTTTGTCACGACCAAAACAATACTGGCCGCTGAATAAGTTTTGTTTCAAGTGCATGAATTATGTAGTTATGTTTCGAAAACAGTAAGATCACACATAAGTAAACTTCAGAAGAATGCGCCTCAGCCGGCTTTCCATTGTCTCTCAGCCATTTCCCTTCTTATTGTCGCTCTTCACCAAAGTTCTATCTTCCTAGCTGGACGTGGTTAGGGTTTACAAGCCACATTCAGGATATCTAACAGTGTCATCCATAATGGCAACCCTGCTACTGACCTCCGATCAAGCCAACTACTATCAGGGTCAGGACGGAATGAGTTTATGTACATCCTAGAAAACCTGATGCACCCATCCAACAAAATAAACGAAAGCAAGGAGAGTGTTGACAGTATGTGTAGACTTCATACTGACTGCCTCAAACCTGATCCTCAGTAACTCACTCAAGGATAGTAGTTGTGTGATAGATTCCAGCGAGCAAGAAATGCAAGGACGTTTGGCTAAACGTTTTTGACAGCAGTCTAGTCAGCCAAATAATAATAGTGAATCATACTGAATCATACTAAACCATTAGGATGGTTTTTAACTCAGCCTTTCAAAGTATGGTGCATCACCTCGCTGTAGACGTTTGACAAACTCCAACAGGCTCGGTTCATCGACAATGAAAGAATCGTCAGTCGGTGAACTATTTAAATTATTTACATTGGTCCATAAAGAACAAACTATATTAAACAAGTGGGATGTGGTACCAATAACGCGCAAGTGAAAACTACTACTCTCCAAAAACCTGACACTCCAAATCTCTTGGGAATGAGACGCAAGGCGCAAATGCTGTTTGTGTCGGTACTCAATTTGTTGCTCTGTACAATTTCAATACGGAACAATGAGTCAAAATCAATAATGTTGAAGCTGTCACTCTCCGTTTAAATCGTCTGTCTTTTTTCCACAACCCCTTTTATCCTGATAATATTTGTGGTCGCCTGGCATCAATTTGGCTCCACGCCCTTCTTTTGTTTATGAGATTTGGTGATTTTCTCCAAAGTCCTGTTCCTTCCATGGGTATCCTGTAAGTCCTGGAGCTGTGTCGCATGTTTTCAGTCAATAATTTATATAGATATTATAGTGGAGGGGTGTTTGTGATCAAGAATTTAAGACGGTTTTTTAGTTTACTGCAAGTGGTTTGCTTCCGGAGATGTCCTACCTATTTGCTTGGAATGATTTAATAAACCGAGCTGAGTTGGGTTTCCTCACTGTTCACTGGTCAGGTAAAATCTGTGCTGAGAACTAGAATTCCGTACCAAATTCAAAGGACTGTGCAGACACGCAAGTTCAGTGGTCAAATGCCCCAACTACTTTGAGGGCTGTCCAGGTTTCAACAGTGCAAAAGACGAAAATTTCGGTACCTTTACTTTGATGTACAATCAATGGCGGTTCTAAATATGTCTCTTCAGAAAGCCATATGTTACTCTAAATCTAGAGAATTGTTTGTCTCTTTTGTCGTCAGCTGGACCTTCAAATAGACGAATCTCTACTGCGTGCTCCATATCCGTCCGACCATATAGTGGTTCTCGTAATAAACGCTTGATTTGATCGAGCTCATAAAAAGAAACTTTACGGTAGCCACTTAAAAGCCAATTTAGCTGGCTTTTGTGGCTGAGCTCCTCAGATCCATAGGTCTAATAGTCTGCCTATGATACCGCCAAATGTTTCACTTTCAGTGCCATGAATCCTTCTGGTTCACCATAATTTAGTATGAGACCATCGCAATGTATTATGGATTCAATGGTGTCATCGATCATGCACGGGTTGACGTAAACACTTAGTGATAAGAATTCGCATTGAATGAGCAGCTGATAATAGAACTGTAACCCGCTATACAAGGTAAAATTTCACGATCCACAGCAGTGGTTCGCATTTCTACGGATTTAAAGACAGAAACAGTGGCTTTGGTGACAAAATAACATATCAGATGCAGCAACTCAAAGTCATATTGATATTGATTGGGCACCAACATTAAATGAATCCATCTCTATCTCTGTTTTGCAATTTTACAGTTAGTAAAATCGATACTCAACTTCAAACCTTTATTAGCTGGAAACGACTGGGAAATTTCTACTGCACGGTTATATTCTACATGAGAAATTCAGGAATCCAGGAATGATAGTGAATATTTACGGCAACAGTGCACACTAGACTGAAGTCTTCAAGTAAATGATCTGCAATTCATTGGACGAAGAATGAAGCTCCTTAAATAGATGCTATATGGAACAAGGTTTTTGGTGCACCCAATGGGCTACTTTGAGCTTTTTAACTATGGACAGAAATGATGAGAGTCACAGGTGGAGAGGAATAAGTGTAAATAGTTACTGTTAGCAGATATTACGGCTGGACGATATGACGGACATGTGCCCAGTGATTTCTTGAGACATAGTTCCACAGTATGAACGAGCTGACTAGGTCAATTATTGCAAAGTGGGTAGTGTGAAAGCAGATAAACAGGTGAACAGGCGAACATGGCAGACTGTAGGCAAGTTTTCCAATGCATAAGTTACCCAAAAAATGTATATTGCTTCGCCAGTATTAACTATGTGCTACTGAAATACAAAATCGTAGTTCGAAAAAAGATGGGGCTTGTGAAAAAGTCCGATGAATTCGCCTGAACACCAACCACCTTCGGGCAGTTCTGGTAAATTCGATATAGAGATGTGTTATCGTGCCCACGATGTTTGAGGATTTTGAACACTTTTGTGGTCGCTGTCTTGAAGCCAGTAGGCGGATTGGACAGCAGCATTCTTTGTTCAGATAACAGTATTCTCACTTCGGAAATTTAGAACAAAATAGCTCGGCAGGCATCGTTTCAGTAGAATACCTCTTGAGATTTAGTTGCACTGGAGTTGTGACGTTCGGAGGTAAATACTGCTCGTAGGTGTCTTCCATACCTTTCAACTTAAATTGCTGCTCCTCTAGCTCGATGATGAAAATAGGAAGTCTTATTATGACTTCCCATTGTATACATATAATTTTCATCAGTCATCATCAAAGACGGCAGCATTAGTGTTGGCGCTGATGCTTCACTGCCGCATATATAATTTTGCATATATATATATAT